ACCACGTCTGGCTTTTTACATTTAGATGCTTGGAACTTGAACTCAGGTCTACCCACTGAGCCAGCCCCCAAAATAATGACTTTTAAAGATTAAAAAATAAAAACTGTGAATGTATTTAACACCACTGGACATTGTCCATAAAAAAGGCTTAACATCCATATCCCTACCATGAAATAATGGAAATCACACCCCACAACCCCAGTCCACCACCCCCGCCTCAGAGCTGGTCGTACATATTCTACAAAGAAGAAAAGCAATGTTCAGCAAGGTTAAGTCTTGCTCCAGAACACACTTGCCAGCAAGGCAGCATGAGTAGGAAAAGACAGAGCCCTCCATAGGCCTCTACAATCAGCGGAGAGGTGGTGGCCCAAGAGGGCAAAGTCACAAGCACAAGCCTCGGAGTCGGTTTTTGTCAGTTTGACACAGCTAGGGTCATCTGGGAAAACAGAATTGCAACTGAAAAAGAAATGCCTCCATCAGACTGGCCTGTACTGTGGGCAAGGTGGTTGTATAAAAAAAGCAGGATGAGCTGGCTGTAGAGATCTCTGTGAGTTCAAGGCCAGTTTGGTCTACCCAGGGAGTTCCAGGATAGCTAGGACTACATAGTGAGACCCTGTCTTGAGCGCCCTTCTCCCAAAAAATACCTCAGAAACAAAACAAAACCAAAAAAAAAAGGCAGACTGCTAGTAAGCAGCATTCCTCCATTGCATCTACTTCAATTCCTGCCTCCAAGGTCCTTCAAGTCAAGTAAACCCTTTCCCTAAGTTGTTTACCTCAGCCATGGAAAGCAAACTAGGACACCAAGGAACAATGCCATGGCATTAAGACAGCATGAGGCAGGCAGAGTAGGAAGTTCAGGCCAGGCTCCCAGCTCCAGCCCCAACCACTCAGTGAGAAACCTCTACAACATTCCGGCCTTAGGCTGCCAAGGTCTAGCCTGATCCTTTCTTTTATCAAGTGTTACTCATCTTTCCTGTCTGTGTTTTGTCTAGATGCTCCTCTTGGCTCTCTCAAAGCCATCACGACAACTCCTACCTGTCAGCTGGTGCAGCCCGCTAGTTCCTTTGCCTAGAGCACAATTGCCACCCCCACCCCCACCAGATCAGGCGCCACTTCCTTCTAGAAAGGTCCAAGGCAACCCAGCCCTCTGGTTTCCTGGCTAAACCCTCCTTGCCTGCCTGGGTGGTTCACTTACAGAAGGTATTTCTCCTGCCTCGCTCATTAGCCATGGAGTCATGAGGAACAGAAATTCCCCAACCCTGACTCCAGCTAGGTTCAAGGAGAGATGGATGCTTCCTAAGACTGGCATAATGGCAGGCTGGGGGCACAGCAGAGAAACCAGGAGACACGGGATGAAAACGGGTAGGTGAAGGTTGGGACCAGAAAGAACAGATTCAGAGGATGAAGGGGCCAGCCTCAGGGAGGAAGAGAAGGATGACAGCTCAGCGAAGCTGCTGAGGGAGAAAAAGGGGAAAAAGGTAGATGCAGGCAAGAGTGAAAAGTAACTCTCTCCTCCCTACCTCTGTTCCTAGGAACCTGTGGCCAGAACGAGTCGGGTACGCTATCCCATAATGGGTCACAGAGTGACAGGGCAAAAGTGAGCAGGTTAGCACCCTAGGCATGGGAGCTGTGTCCGGGAGAGAGGAGAGGTGTTCAAGCCAGCAAGCATGGGTGCCTCGGCTCGGAGGTGACAGGTGTTAATCTGTGTTGCGGCTCTGCATTTCATCTGCATGTCTGCCTGGCTCTGGTCAGAGGCTTCTGCCTGGGCTGGTAACAGGCCTAATCCCTGCAGTCAAAACATGATGGCCACAACCCCAAGTCTAGGACCTTCCGTCAGCTGACTGTGGGCCCCACTGGCCGCTCCACTTGGGAAATGATCTCTGCAAGCGGGAAGTGTAAAGACAGGGCTCTTGGGGGTGCTGGCAGCTGAAGCTGACCAGGGGTGAGGATAGGACACCACAGGTCTCTGGGGAAGATGAGAGGACCGGAGGAGCACAGCCAGAGCGAGAGGAGGTCTGAGTCAGCCTCCCCGGGGGGCCTGCCCCACACACTGCTGTGAGCTCAGAGCTATCTATATCACCCAGCTGTGCCGGCCGCCCCAAGGGGGTAAGAAGAGACTAGGATAAGCCAGTAGCTGGCTCTCGGCAAGACGTCCCTTCACACAAGCCAGGTGAGTCATCAGATGGGGCAGGATGCTCCTGTCTCTTCTGTCCAGAGACTGACCCACCTGACCCAAGGCCAGGCCGAAGCAGGGCCAGGAGGGACTGTGAAGGAGTTCAGAGTGAGGGTGAAGAGAGAGGGCTGCTAGCCCTGCTCTGCTTACTACCCCCACATCTTTACATGTAAAGTAGGGGAAAAGAGAGCTACCCACAAGCACTACATAATCACTAAAGAAATAATCCCAAGTGTCCACTGATGGAATGGGTGCCCGATACCTGCGTACAACAGGACAAAATTCTGACACACACCGCAACGTGAACATGAATGACCCCGAGCAAATCACACACACACACACAAAAGGAAAAGACAAATGTATGATCCCACATAGATGAGGGACCTGGAATGGTTACATCCACAGAGAAAGAAAAGCAGCAGCTGCCTGAGGAGCTGTCCGATGGGCATGCTGGCCCACACAATAATCCCATTACTCAGGAGGCAAAGGCGGGTAAGCTCAAAGTCAGCCTGGCCTACACAATGAGTTCCAAGCCAACCAGGGTGACATATGAAACCTTGTCAGAAAGAGAAAGGCAGAAACTGAAAGAGAGAGGAAGGGGGGGCGAGGGGGAAAAAAAAGGAATGGTAGGATAGAATATAAGAAACTACTGTTTAAGGGGCACAAAGTTCTGCTCTGGGATGACAGTTTCTGCACGGGAAGGGTACGCTGGCTGTAACAGCAGGGTGAATTACAGACTGTCACTAAACCTAAAGCAGGGAGCCAAAGGCCCCGGGACCACACAGCCAATCAAATCCGTTGTTAGTGTGTTTGATTCATTTTTATTTAATCACCTGGGGGGAAAAGGGTGCGTGTGAGAGAGAGACCGAGAGAGAGGCCATGTGTGCATACACATGCATATGCATGGGCATGGGGTGGGGGATGGCACATGTAGACATGGGGGAGAGGGTGGAGAGCACACCCATACCTTGGTGCAGGTTAGAGAATGATTTGGGGGAGCTGGTGCTTGCCTTCTACCTTTGAGGAGGGGCCCTTTTTTGTTTCTGCTCTTGAATGATCTTGCCATAGGAGAGCAAGGACAGTTGCAGGCCAGTTCACCTGACTGTTGCATCTGAGCCATCGGACCAGCCCCTCCATCTAGACTTTTTAACCTGAGTTTCAGGAATCAAACTCGGGCCTCCAGGCTTGTGGCAACAAATGTTTTTATCTACTGAACCATTTCCCTGGCCATTTTTAAATTATTGTTAAAAAATAAGTATATATGTGTGTGTCCCGTGCATACTGGTACCTGTGGGGGCCAGAAGAGGGCTTCAGGTCCCCTGGGATTACAATCAGAAGCAGTTGGGAATTGCTTGATGTGGGTGCCGGGAACTGAACTCAGGTCTTCTGAAAGAGCTCCTTAACACTTAGAATCTTAACACTGAGCCATCCCAGCCAGGTGTGGTGGCACACGCCTTTAGTCCCAGCGCTCAGGGAGCCAGCAGGGGGATCGATGTGAGTTCAGAGCCAGCCTGGTCTACAAAGCAAGTCCAGGACAGCCAAGATTACACAGAGAAATCCTGTCCCGAAAAACAAACAAAAAAACCACTGAGCCATCTCTCTAGCCTCTTCCTTGGCCCTCCAACAGCTGAAAAAGCACCTGTTCTGGGGGAAGCGGGAAAGAGACACTCATGAATGGAAACCCAGTGGGGGGTGGGAATCGTGGCAGCTGGCCTGCGAACCCCCTGCTGTCCTACCTTCACCGGTTGCAGAGGCCTTCTCAGACCTTTGGGTGTCCACCCCTCAACATCCTGTTTGAAGCACGGGCCCCTGGGGGCGTTTCCGGTGGGAGTGGAAGCCTGACCTAATCCTGACCCAGGCCTTGTAGCAGCTGTTCGGTTTTTGTCTGTTTTTACTTTCCCGGCATCCACTCTCCTAAAGGCCACATCGACTCACATAGACGCTTGGCCCTTCCTGCGTGGTGGCTCCTAAGCGTGGTGTTCCGCACCCTGGTCACTCAAGAAGCTGAAGGGAATTCGGGTTCCTCCTCTCTGAGGCCCTCCCAGACTGCCTCAGGGAACAGTTAGCTGTACCTGTGTTCACTTCTCAGCTCCACAACGTGGCCCACACCCGATAGGCCCATGCCTGGCACTCACACAATGCGTGCTTGCCATGTGCTGGATGCATGAAGGAGGGAGGAGGGAGCAGAAGGAGTCCTATCTCAAATGATTCCCTTCACTTTTCCTTTCCTTTTGTAGGACTGGGGATTAAGCTCGGGACATTTCATAATGCTAGGCAAGGACTCTAGCACTGAGCTACACTCCCAGCTGAAGTCCCCTGTTTTGTCATTCTGTCTAAGGTTGGCAGCATGAAGATCAAGCATTTGCTTAAGATGGAGGGGGGAGAAGGAACTGTTAGTCTGCCCTGTGGAGATAGTCTATTCTACTCACAATAAGCTTCATAAATTTTTCTATTGCCAAGCAGTGGTGGCGAGCAGTGATGGCGCACACCTTTAGTGCCAGAATTTGGGAGGCAGAGACAGGAGGATCTCTGAGTTCAAGGCCAGTCTGGTCTACAGAGAGAGTTCTGGTATAGCCAAGGCTACACAGAGAAAACCTGCCTCAAAGGAGCATATTTTCCCTCTGCTAGCACACAGCCTCCTCACCAGATGCCCCTCCTCGCCCATTCCCAAGCTTCTCTTCCTCAGATGCTTGGAACCTGGGACAGAACAGAGTACTGTGCCCAGGTAGAAGCCACAAGAGGTCGTTTGGAGGGAACCCCGAAGCTGCTGTGTCCACTCCTGCTTAACTACAAAGCCAGCTTCTGCCCAGCTCCCATAGGCTCTTACCATACATCTTGCCTTCGTCTGACAGGATAATTTTGCGGCGGCCGCAGGGTGGGTAAATGGCCAGTGCCTCCTGGAAGCTTTGCTCAATGTCGGGGCTCCACACGCCCTCTGCATCATTGTCGATGGGCTTGTCCAGTGCCTGGCTGCCCCCAGAGATGCTGCTCCCCTCGGGGGAGTCAGGAGAGCTCCACTCGTTGGAGGTAATGGTGCCGGCCTTGCCCTCCAAGGCTCGGCTTGGAGGAGCACCCGTCGGACCTGTTAGAGCGAAACAAGGCACAGTAAGAAGAAGGGCCTCGCAGGCTGCAGGGCACGGGACACCCAGAGTGCCTCAAGAGTCAGGGAGGCTTGGACATGTTGTTTTCCCTCAGCAAACCAAGCTTCCAAACTGCCCAGTGAGCACAAAAGCCCCCCCTCGTTGAACCAGATGCGACACTTTAATCCCAGCACTCAGGAGGCAGAGGCAGAGGAAACTCAGGCAAACTCTCTGAGTTTGAGGACAGCCTGGTCTACAAAGCCAGCCCCAGGTTAGCCAAGGCCACACAAAACAAACAAACAAAACCAACCAACCAAACAAACAAAACCCCCTGATTGTACATCTAAGAACACACATAAGGCTGGGAAATAGGAGACAAAGGCATAGAGACAGATTCAGACTGACACCAAATGAACTCTAGGCAAAAAGGATCTTAAATCTTATGGGGGAGATGAAACAGTGCAAACACCGTGGGAACAGTACACAAAATCCTCAAAATTAAAATGAGGGCTAGGGGGTGGAGCCCAAATGATAGAGGTTTGATGAGCATGCTTGAGGGCTCTCGCTTCAGAACTACCAATACTAAAAATAATGGTAATCATATTATATTAATGCTACTACTACTAATAATAATAAATGTGATCCACCAATCCTGTTTCTTGGTATATATTCAAAATAATTGAAAGCAGGAGCTCCAAGAGACACCATAGCAGCACTATTCACAACAGCGGAATAATGGAGGGTGCCCTGCATTCAACCCACGTGAATACAGAACGCGGTATGTGTATACAATGGACTACTATTAGCACTAAAAAGTAAGCCCTGTCAGACGCTATAACATGGATAAGTGTTGGTGATATTGTGTTAAGTGAAACAAGTAGGTCATAGAGGAAAAAGACAGTACAGGTATACATATAGAGGCTAATTCAAATTCTTAGAAACAAGGTACAATGGATGCTGCCAGGGGTTGAGGAGGGAGAGATGGGGAGTTGTTGTCTAACTTCCTATCCCAGGCCGGTGCACTGGAGAAAGACGAAGCTGGCAGGCTGCTGTAGGTCAGTGACAGACAGCCTGTCCAGCAAGGACACCGCTCCGGGTTCAATCCCTGGGAGCACAAGAAATAATTCCCGAAAGGGGAGGATAGACAAAAGCAAGGAAGGCAAAGGTAACAACTTCTTCAGTTAGTAAGAGATCGGAATCCTCTAATGCTGGAACCGTAATGGGTCTTAATCAGGATAAACTCAGATAAGATAAAACAATAGCCAAAAACAGACTTAAAAGCATCAAGAATGAAGACGGCTCTACAACAGGAGCCCACTGTGTGGGAACGGAACCCAGGGCCTCTTGCATACCGAGAAGATGCTGTAGCAATGAGCGGACCCCCAGCCCAGGAAGCATACTAGCAGTGGGTTTCAGCAGCAATACTAAAATTCTCAAGATCATGCATCTCCAAACTATCTCCAAATGGCCATCATCCAGAACGCTAACCCCAGCAAAGGGGTTGGGAGACAGGTCAGTGGGTAAAACACTTGCTATTCGAGTGTGAGCATCTGAATTTGGAGCCCTAGATGCACGTGCCGAATGAGGTGGCCTATGCCTGTAATCCCAGCACTTCCACTGGAGATGAACGGAAGGGACAGCAGAACCCCTGAGATTCAGGTGCCAGTTTGCCTGGTGTTAGGACACCGTCAGGACCAAGAGATGTGACTCAGCACAGAGAGGTGGTTAAGTGGGTAAAGAGCAGGAGCTGCGCGAGCCAGACGGCCTGAGCATGATCCTCCACACACTCGCAGCACTCAGACAACGAGACAGGAGGCAGAGACAGACAGAAAACTGTCCTCTCATCTCCATGTGTCCCGTGGATGGCACATATCTGCCTCCACTCACACATAATACAAACACACACACACACACACACATAGACAGAGGGAAACACAGACACAAATGATAAATAAAAATAAATCTTTAAAAGGAAAGATGGCTCAGGTTAGGAGCACTCGTTCCAGAAGACCCAGCACCCACATGGCAGCTGACAACAATGTGTAATCCAGTTTCAGGGGATCTGATGTCTTTTTTTGGCTTGAACAGGCACTAGCTACTCGTGTGGTACACAGACACACACTCAGGCCAAACACCCACACAAATAAAAGCACAGGCTGCTCTTGCAGAGAACCCCAGTTCAGCTCCCAGCAACCCCACACTAGATGCTCACAATCACCTGTAACTCCATCTCCAGGAGATCCAATACCTCTGAGCCATGTGGATATCTACACTCACCTACACATAATGTAGGTGACACACACAATTACACATAATGAAAAATAAAATAAATGTTAGAAAAGGGAATTGTGCTGGTTAGTTCTTACCAACTTGACACAAACTTGAGGTCTTCTGGGAACCTCAGCTGAGAAAAATGAGTCTATCAGGCTGTTTGCAAGCCTGTAGGGAATTTTCTTGATTAATGGTCGATGCGGGAAGGTCCACCCCACTGTGGGTGGTGCCGTCCCTGGGCAGGTCGTCCTGGGACGTATAAGAAAGAAAGGCTGAGCAAGCCACATGGAAACAAGCTACCAAGTTTCCCTTCTTACGGCCTCTGCTTCAGCTCCTGCCTCAAGATTCCTGCCTCCAGTTCCGGCCCTGACTTCCTTCAATGATGAACTAAAACTGTATGCTGAAACAAACCCTCTCTTCTCCAAGCAGCTTTTGTCTGTGGTCTGTATCACAGCAGGAGAACCCTAGGGCAGGAATGAAGGAGGTGCTTGAAAAGTACGAACGTGAAACTGATGTGAGAGGATAATACACAGAGGCTGGAGCCAAGTCAATGACAGGAACCAGAGTACAGAGGAACAAAAGCTAAAGCAGAAACATGGCTCAGGGACGAAGCACCCGCCTGGCAGGTGAGGCCAAGGGTGTCCTCAGCACCAAAAGAAACAGCTGAGCACAGAGAGACAACATAAATTTAGAATATCCATTTGATAGAACCTGAGACCTTCCCATAAAAATGACTGTTATTAAATAAATAGATAAAAATAAGTGATTGAAGAGTGGTAAGAGACGAAAGGGAGCTGATTCTTTCAATCTGACCAAAGACATCTTTTGAAAACTTACACAAATATGACGCTTGCTGAAACAATGGATGGAAGCAATACCTTTTAAGTGGAGGATAAGATCAAGGATGCTCACTTTGAGCACTTCAAACACCACCCAAAGGCGGGCAGTGCTGGTGCACTGGGGAGACGGAGGCGGGTGGATCCCTGAGTTAAAGGCCAGCCTGAGCTACACAGGGAGTTCCAGGCCGGCCAAGGCGACACAATGAAACCAGAAGATGTTTATTTGGTGTGGAGGTGGGCGGGGTGGGGTGGGGTGGGGTGGGGGGAAAACAGCCACAAACTCAGGGAAATAGTGACTTAAACATTTTCTACAAGGTTTTCCACAAAACCTGAGCAAGCAGATTCTGAGATTACACAGCCAAAATGACTCTCAAGCTCCCTGACATGGTGGTTGGCTCCGTTCCTTCCGGCTTCGGGTTGTAAAAAACGGTTCTGCGCTGTGCAAGAACTAAGAGAGCTGAAAGGACTCCCCTCCTACACTAAACAGTGACCTTGTACAAATCACAGCATTGCTCTGGACCTTGCCCGTAAAACCAGGGGCCCTGAGTTCTTTCTTTCTGTGCTGGCACACACTCCTGGACCCCATATTTCTCCATGGGCCTCCAAGTATCCCCTATAAATACTCAGGGAAGGACGATGCTCCCACAGCGGCCAGGGTGAGAGTTCTTTCGTCACAAGCACTTAGGTTTCGTGCCCTACCTCCACCCCCTCGAAGGGCAGGGGGAGCTGCAGTCCACCCACAGGGCCTGCAGCCCAGTCAGTGCTCTGTACAGGGTGTTTAATAACCACTGTCCTTAAGCGCCAAGACTGGAGAGCAAGCTCTGAAACCTTAAACAGGCCTGGCGGGCGCACATAGCTTAAGCCCTAATGATAAAGATTAGTATCTGACAGTGATTAATTAACCTTCTAATGTATAAGGCCCCATTGGTTTGGGGGGTTAGACTTCATTTTCTTCTGCGGCCTGACATTAGCACCGGATGTACACTCTGAGCTGGGTAGAGGGGAAGATGGAGAAGAGGAGGCAGCTAGCCCTGTACCATCTTATGTGACCCTGCCCCACCCTCATCCCCACCAAAGGAGATAGTCTCTGGTCTCTGGGCCCTACTTCTCCTTAACATTGCCCTTTCCAACACTCCAAAGATTGGGCCCAGGACAGCCCAGAAGAACAAGCCTGGGAGAACTACAGACCGTTTGTGCCAGCCTGCCCCACGGGAGAGGTTTTCTGAGGACCTGAACTCCGTGTTCCCAAGATTGGGTCTGTCCCAGAGAAAGTGGGGCAGCGGGTCACGCAAGGCCCTAGGACATGGGATTTATTACTGCAGTGAAGCTGCCCCTGGCCCTGTGTGGCTGTGGTGCTCCTGGTCCCCAGTTCTGACTGGCTGGCTGCTCCGACCCTCACCAGGCAAACTGCCCACGCAAGCCTACCCTGCGGCCAGAAGAACGGGGTAAGTCAACCCCAGCCCAATCCCCACTCCTCCTGCTCCTCCCACAAGTGACCCTCCAGGACTGCCAGGGGAGACCAAGAGTGGGAAACAGATGGCATCACTGCCCAGACCATGCGCTATGGCCAAAGAAATAAAAATAAAATAATCCCTGACTTGGCTCTCAGGCCCTGGCCCAGAGGCTTCTAGCTCTATCTCTGCCCCACCCAGAAGCCAACAGATGTCCTACTCCGGACAACCAGGCCCAAAGAACACGATACTTCATCCACCCCAAGGCCCACAGGTGCTGGCCACAGAGGAATTTTCAGAAGAATCGGGAACTGGGATTGTTTCAGGACCCTTTTAAGGCTCAGAACCCTGTGCTCTTCTAGGAAGAGAAGAGAGCGAAGACCTGCAGGTTATACTCGGAGACGCCTCGGCTGAGGGGTGCGGCATGGGTAGAGGGGAGGA